AATACAAGTAATTGTAATTGGCAAAATTTCAATTACAATTACAAATAATTGTAATTAGTTATTTGTCAATTACACATTACAAGTAATTGTAATTGGAAAAATTTCAATTACAATTACAATTAATTGTAATTGGTTATTGTTCAATTACAGATTACAAGTAATTGTAATTGACCTTGTAATTAATTACTCTGTGTAATCATTACCCCCCATGTCTGATACGTAAACAATATGTCAAGGCAAAAAAGTAAGTAGTTACATAATATATTTTTTGTAAGTTATTTCTTAACTCCTTCTAAGTAATGCAGACGGTATGTAACAGTCATTGAAAAGCAAATTGTTGAGTAAGTGCAAGTGCAATTTATGTTTTTGCTGGGATAGAAAAAAGTTTTGAAACGATTTCATCGTATATTTAATTTATAAAGCATTTATAAAAATTAAAGTCATATTCCCAATCTGACCTTATGTTGAAGCAAGTGATAATTTGTTATATACTATGTACATACATATGTATGTAGGTTAAATTAAAAAAAAATTAAATTAAATCATAATTACTAATAAAAAACAATAAAAAATCAACTGGGCTCAACCGGGATTTGAACCCGGGACCTCTCGCACCCAAAGCGAGAATCATACCCCTAGACCATTGAGCCTCATGCCTGTAGACAAACAAACAAATTATTTTAGCCACAACAATGCATTGTTAGCCGTATTCATGCTACTAACTAAATACCAAATGCATACGGTATACATATTACACATTTTTCATCTTTAAGCAAAACAAGAAACAATAATGACAGCAATGTTGATGACGAAGATTATAAATATCATTTTATTGGAATTATTTTATTAAGGCCTAAACACTCACTATAGTTTATACAATATTTTAAAAATACAAAACTGTTGCATATTTAAGTGAGTTTCATAAAAATTTTCGTTTTTTTTTTTTTATAAAACAATACAAAATAAAGTAACAATATTATTTTATTGCCGATAATTTTTATACGAAAAAAATCTAGAAAATTTTTATTGCAAAGTAAAATAACATCTTTAACCCCAAAAAACGATTTTTATACCCACGATCAAAAAAATGGAGGAGATACACTAATCTTTGCACACCATTTGTACCAAACAAATCGTGCTGTTGTTTGCAATATGTTGAGCCCTTATAAGATTCTCAGGTGATCTAGCTATGTCCCTCCGACAGTCCATAATATAGCATCTAATCAGCTAGAGCAACTAGAGATATTTTCAGAAATATTAAATATGTAAAATGCCGAGAGAATTGCACCAGAATATACCAAAAAGTATAAATAACACAAATGGTGGTTGTGATAAGACTCGTCATGTAACAGTGTACAGTACTAAACGGCTGAACCTAGACACATGATATTTTGACTCTTAATTTTTTTTTTTGTCATGTAGATCTACTAAGAAGGGATTTTTGGAAATTCAAATTTTTAGGGGGTAAAAAAGGGTAAAAACGGGTAAATCTGGTAACTTAATATCTCCTAAACTAAAAGAGATACACTTATCGTTGTTTATTCAAAAAATAAGCGGACAGGTGTCTGGTACTTTTTCGAAATTCGGTTCATTTTAGGAGTAAATCGGTAAAAACTGTATTTTTGTACTTTTTTGAACCTTATGTACCTTTTTAACCAGTGAACATAGAAATAAAATTTATATCACATTCGTACCTTATTGAAAAATTACGAATATAAGTTTGGTACTTTTGGGAAGTTCGGACGTTTAATGGGTAAAAATCTTACTTATTTTTGGTATTTTTTTTGTGAAACATTGTTTTCTATTTATTGGTTTGTACATAGTTACAGTCTACCAGACTAGAACTTAAACCACTAACCTCCCGATTAAAAGAATATATCGTCACCTGAAACGCAAACGGCCCTAACTAACCAAAAATTCAAAATAGATTTTAATGTTGATTCTAATGTATTGCATCAAAACAAATGTCCACACCAAAAATTGGACTCTTCTAACAAAAATTATAGATTTTATTGATAAATCGCGTTGATTGAAACAAACTTTTCAATATAAATAGTTTTTTGCTTCTCCTGTAAAATTTTAAAAATATTAGATAGGGCCGTTTGCGTTTTAGGTGACGATATATGTATGTATATGTCGGAACTTTTTGGAACTTTTTTGTTCTTTAACCGATACTTTTTGAATTTTATGTTTTATTGAACATATAAAAATAAAGTGTAACACGCAGGGACCTAAATGAATGATAATCTGTAAGAAGTACATTTTTTATTATTCAACGAATTTTCTATAATATTGAACTAAAATTAAGCACGAAGCAGAATGAGAATCTAAAAAAGGAAAATTTTTATTATTATTACATTTTTATCGTTGTCTAACTGACAATTTTGAGCCTAGAAACTAAAAATCAAGAACGTAGGGTCCTGATTGAAAAAATCTGTATGAGAAACCTTTTTGGTTGGTTTGGTTGTTCAATTGGTACTTTTTTCAATTTTCGATAAAATTGAACCTAAGCTTATCGCCGTTCATTTAAAAAATAAACGGACAGGTGTCTGGTACTTTTTTAAAATTCGGCCTCTTTAGGGAATAAACGGGTAAAAACTGTATAAACCAGTGCACATTCAAAAAATATTTTTGACTCCTTCATAACTTAACGAAAAAATAAAAATATGAATTTAGTACTTTTTGGATATTCGGACGTTTAAGGGGTTAAAATTGTACCTATTTTTGGTACTTTTTTCATAAAACATTGTTTTTGGTTTATTAACTTATACATATGAATACATAATAACGGGCTCCCACTACGATGTTGCAACTTTTTGGAATAGAATTTTTATTTTGTTAATGGGGAGGAAAAAAGTACCAAAAGGGGTAAAAACGGGAAATTTGATTTTATTCAACCACAATGATCCAATTTAGATAAAATTTTTAAATTTAGAAACACTAAATATCATAACGGGGTGTTATTTGGAACCCCGGTATCAAGTGATATTTTCATTCTCCAACTGGTCCTTTTTGAGTTTTCTATGATATTGAAATAGAAACATGAAATTAATAACAAAGCGACTTTTCGCTACTTTTTCGTTCTACACAGGTATTTTTTTGAGTTTTCTTTAAAATTAAACCTAGAAACATGAAAATAAGCATGTAGAGCTCGGAGTAAATGAGAATCTATAAAATGGGACTTTTTGGTACTTTTTCGTTCTTCAAAAGGTACTTTTTGAATTTTCTATAATATTGAACCTAGAAACATGAAATTAAACATGTAGAGACCGGAGTAAATGAGAATCTATAAAAGGGGACTTTTTGGTACTTTTTCGTCCTTCGACTGGTACTTTTTGAGTTTTCTATAAAATTTAACCTAGAAACATGAAATTAAGCCCTTAGTAAATGAGAATCTATAAAAGGGGACTATTTGGTACTATTTCGTCTGGTACTTTTTGAGTTTTCTATAAAATTTAACCTAGAAACATGAAATTAAGCATGTAGAGCCCTTAGTAGATGAGAATCTATAAAAGGGGACTTTTTGGTACTTTTTCGTCTTTCGACTGGTACTTTTTGAATTTTCTATAATATTGATCCTAGTAGAGCCTGGAGTAAATGAGAATCTATAAAAGGGGACTTTTTGGTACTTTTTCGTCCTTCGACTGGTACTTTTTGAGTTTTCTATTAAATTGAACCTAGAAACATGAAAATAAGCATTTAGAGCCCGTAGTAAATGAGAATCTATAAAAGGGGACTTTTTGGTACTTTTTCGTTCTTCAAAAGGTACTTTATAAATTTTCTATAATATTGAAAATAGAAACATGAAAGTATGCATGTAGAGCCTGGATTAAGTGAGAAACTATAAAAGGGGACTTTTTGGTACTTTTTTGTTCTTCAAAAGGTACTTTTTGAATTTTCTATAATATTGAACCTAGAAACATGAAATTAAACATGTAGAGCCCGAATTAAGTGAGGACCTATAAAAGGGGACTTTTTGGTACTTTTTCGTTCTTCAAAAAGTACTTTTTGAATTTTCTATAATATTGATCCTAGAAGCATGAAATTAAGCATGTAGAGCCTGGAGTAAATGAGAATCTATAAGAGGGGACTTTTTGAATTTTCTATAATATTGAACCTAGAAACATGAAATTAAGCAAGTACAGCCAAGATTAAGTGATAACCTAATCCCCTTTTTCGTTCTTCAAAAGGTACTTTTTGAATTTTCTATAATATTGAACCTAGAAACATGAAATTAAGTACGTAGAGCCCGGAGTAAGTGAGAATATATAAAAGAGGACTTTTTGGTAATTTTTCGTTCTTCAAAAGGTACTTTTTGTGTTTTTATAACATAAAATTAACCATGTGGAGCCCGGAGTTAATGAGAATCTATAAAAGGGGACCCTTTGGTAATTTTTCGTTCTTCAACTGGTACTTTTTTAATTTTCTATAATATTGAACTTAGGAACATGAAATTAAATAAAAGAGGTCTTTTGTTACTTTTTCGTACTTCAGTGGTACTTTTTGAGTTTTCTAAAATATTGAATATATAAACATAAATTTAAATAGGGGACTTTTTGATATTGCAGATATATATATAAATTTACAATAATATTTATTTTATTCCATTACGATGAGAGTAGCGAAGCACACTGGGTATAGCTAGTAACATATAAAAGAGAACATTTGGGTACATTTTCGTTCATCAATTGGTACCTTTTAGACAAATTATTGAACTTAAAAACATTAAATTAAATAAACAAGGTTCTAAAAATCTGTAAGATATTTAGTTTTTGAATTTTCTATAATATACAACCAAAGAACATAAAAGTAAACCTACACAGTCTGACAATCTATAAGAGATAATTTTTTGTACTTTTTCTTTCATAAAATTGTTGATCCTTTTAAACTTTTGTAATCTAAATTTTATTTTAATTTAACTTCGAATAGGGTAGCGAAGCACTCAGGGTATGCTAGTTTCTTTAATAAAACTCACTTTCATTTTGTTCTTATTACTAAAATTATTTATTTTATTTATTAATTATGTTTTTAAATTATAAGGGAACACAAATTTTTTTAATATTACACATAATAATATAATATTACACATTACAAAATACATATTTATATATTTATTGAGAATTTAAAATGTTGTATAAAATTTTAATAAATTGTATTTACAAAAAAGGAAAATGGATTTTACTTTGAATGTCAAAGTATGTTATTTTTATCAACTTAAATAAATCTAATAATCATATAGTAAAAAAAGTTTTTCAAGTTGCAGCAATAAATTTAGAAAATTTATATTTTATTACAAACATCTTTAAAATGAGGGATTGGTAAACTTAAAATACCAGAAATACATTTTAAGCTGAATATAAATTTGCCGAAAAATAGGTGTAGCACCACCTATATTATAATAAGGATATAAAAATATAGATTTTTAGCACAAATTTTTAATGTATTTTACACATGTGTGCTCATAATTTTAAATTTATTAATTTATACAAATATTGCACTTAAATTAACTTAATAGTAATTGTTTTATATATAAAAGAAAAAAAGAAAGTTACCAATAGAATGTTTTTAATAATATCTTAAACTGTTTAACACAATTAGCACTTCTTAGAAAACAACTTAAACCCATTTTTCCATTTTAATTGAATTCTCCAAAAAAAATTTCTTAGAAACAGTAGTAAAAGGCGAGAGAAATAAAAGTTATAACAAGAATGGAACCTATGTAATTGTAATTGAAATTTTGTCAATATGTTTTACTTGTTTATATCGAATATCATCGCTGTACTCGCATTTTTATGAGAAGATGACCTTATATGGGGGGTAGGGTCGATTTTGGCCCTGATCCTCACTAAATTTATTAGAGAATTTTTGGATCGTGAGAAACTTACTTCTATCGAATTTCATCGGTATACTCATGTTTTTGAGCCAGTAAAGAACGTTAAAGTAATTTTCTGAAGGGGACCGATTCTCATAAAATTTGGTAAAGAAATTTTGGATCATATGAAACTTATTTATGGCGAATTTCGTCAGTAATGAGCTTAAAGTAATTTTTTGAAGGGGAACTTATATAGGGAGTAGGGTCAATTATGGACCGATCCTTATAAAGTTTGGTAGAGAAATTTTGAGTCATATGAAACTTATTTATGTCAAATTTCGTCGCTATATTCGTATTTTCAAAACATTTATGTGTGATTTAAGTGTCTTCCGGGGGACACTTGTATGGGAGCTTGTTGAAAACATCGGTCGATATTCCATTTTCAATACCAAACAAAATGCAAAATTTCAGCTCAATAGCTCTTTCCGTTCGCACTCTATCGAGCTTTCAACAGACAGACAGATGAATGAAAATGGCTAGATCGTCTTAGAATTTAATAAGAAACCAGTATAAATATTCTATTGTGGGTCTATGGCCAATATTTTGATGTGTTACAACGGAATCTTTTTGACAGAATAAGCCTACCCTATAGATGTCATGATAAGTTCACATTTTTTCTTATAACTTTTAAAAACTCGCTTAAAAAACTACTTTTAAAATTTTAATAAAAATGTCAGCAGGACAAATTCAACAGTATGTTCTTCACTGCACCGATCAGTATGCTGATCTTATGTCATGTTAAAATTTTATCGTTACATATTCTCGGATTCATAATCTGGAAATATTTAATTGGGCTTATAAAATATTTAAATGTATTTAATTTTAATATTTACATTTTTCTTGTTCTAATTACTAAGTAAACACAATTAGAGGGAAAAAAGGGAACTATTTCTCAAGATTTTCTTTTGAATTTTAAAATTTTTTCATTATTCAAATTTATACCACAAAAAACTTCAAAACTCTTTAGCACCGAAAAAATTCCACATCCACTCTTCTTAAATTGTGTTTACCCCTTTTTAAGGGAATGCGATTTGTAATTTTAATTAAAAATATCATCTACTAATTCTTTTGTTATAATACGATGTGGCCGGGTGGGATTCACTTTTGGACGTTGATATAAACGAGCATTGATGGCGTAGAGGCGAGGTGATAAATCACAGCGAACATTAAACCACCAGTCACATACGAAAACGGCCTGAGAAAATTGTGTGCCGTTGGGGCAAAGAAATGAAGCCTGACGTCCATCGATGTCACAATAATGCCAGCCTGTAAATAGAGAAATAGGAGAGATTTATATAAATTTGGAACTTTAATTGAAGGCATCGATCGGCGATCGCTGCAAGACTTGTGAGCAATACCAAACTACTTGACTATAGACTAGACTATAGACTGGACTATAGACTGGACTATAGACTAGACTATAGACTAGACTATAGACTAGACTATAGACTAGACTATAGACTAGACTATAGACTAAACTATAGACTATAGACTAGACTATAGACTAGACTATAGACTAGACTATAGACTAGACTATAGACTAGACTATAGACTAGACTATAGACTAGACTATAGACTAGACTATAGACTAGACTAGACTTCACTATAGACTAGACTATAGACTACACTATATACTAGACTATAGACTAGACTATATAGTAGACTATAGAGTAGACTATTGACTAGACTATAGAGTAGACTATAGAGTAGACTATAGAGTAGGCTATTGACTAGGCTATTGACTAGACTAGACTATAGACTAGACTATAGACTAGACTACACTATAGACTAGACTATAGACTACACTATATACTAGACTATAGACTAGACTATATAGTAGACTATAGAGTAGACTATTGACTAGACTATAGAGTAGACTATAGAGTAGGCTATAGAGTAGACTATAGAGTAGGCTATAGACTAGACTATAGACTAGACTATAGACTAGACTATAGACTAGACTATAAACTAGACTATAGACTAGACTATAGACTAGACTATAGACTAGACTATAGACTAGACTATAGACTAGACTATAGACTAGACTATAGACTAGACTATAGGCTAGACTATAGACTAGACTATAGACTAGGCTATAGACTAGACTATAGACTAGACTATAGACTAGACTATAGACTAGACTATTGACTAGACTATTGACTAGACTATTGACTAGACTATTGACTAGACTATAGACTAGACTATTGACTAGACTATAGACTAGACTATAGACTAGACTATAGACTAGACTATTGACTAGACTATTGACTAGACTATAGACTAGACTATAGACTAGACTATAGACTAGACTATTGACTAGACTATAGACTAGACTATAGACTAGACTATAGACTAGACTATTAACTAGACTGGAGACTATGGACTAGACTATAGACTAGACTATAGACTACACTATAGACTACACTATAGACTACACTATAGACTAGACTATAGACTAGACCATAGAGTGGATTATTAACTAGACTGGAGACTACATTATAGAGTACTCTATAGACTACACTATATACTATACTATAGATTCTCATTATTTTTTAGAGACATTAAAGTCATGATAGACTTTCCTCTGCAATATAAGGAAAACATATTTATAAAATTATAAGACACTAATTGGATTTCCAACAAAGTGAAATAAAATTAAATTAATTTTTAAAATATTTATAATATGCATTACAACTCTCCTTGTAATTACTTACCCTGACATCTGGTCTCCATATCAGCAAAAAATCCTGGATATGGTTGTTCATCACAATAAAAGTTTGTATATGGAATAGCAGAGAGTATGGGATAATCAACACCAGGACGTCCTAAAGGCATTGGAGTAGGAAATAAATAAAACATTATAATACAAAACAAATAAATAAAGAAAATAATAAATTTAAATTCAGAATTCTGTTTTTATGCAGTAAATACCGTAGTGCAAACATAACAACTCCTCGACATAATTGGTTTTGTTGACCGATAAAAAATTTAAATAAAAAAATCAAACCAGGACGGAATAAACAAATAAACAGCAACGCACTATATCCTGGTGCTAGTTGCAAGAGTAGCAATCATACATACTAATAAACCTCAATTTTGTTAGTGTATTGTATGCATGAAAAGTGTCAAATGCATTTGTTTTGTGTGAATTCACGTATTTTTTAACAAACTTGACAAAAAAGTCAACCGAGTTTCTCAAAAAAAACAAAAGTATACCTCAACAATATTGTAAAAAATTTGCTAAAGAACTAAAAACGAAATTGAAACCATACAGGAACAAAGAAACAATCAAACCATACACTGGTCACCATCATCCTACAATTCATGTTATCACCACACCCCCCTCCCCCTTAAAACAACTCATACTCTATGTTGTACAATTGTATGTAGCCGGACATCAAGCCGGCTTGCCGCCTGCTATCGTCATCGTATAAAGTCTATTAATAAATGAATTTACGAGTGAATGCACTTCAAATTTGGTCGTAAAAAATATTTTAGTCAAAAATATTCGGAATATTTTTTTTATAATAGTTTTTCTTTTTTGCAAGCAGCAGGAGTAAATGAAAAATGCATTTATTTACTGGAAAATCTACAAATTAAAAAGAATTGATTTTGCGCTTGCTGTTGCAATGAACCAGCAAAACGTAATTCAGACAAGATAAAAAACAGGGTTTCGTTTCTGAAAAAAAAGCTCCACCAAATTTGCAGCCAGAAGACAACAGTTTTTTTAAATGTTGTTGACATAAACACTAACAAATGCAACAGCCTGACTACAATTGCACAAACAATATTGTTGCACTGCCCATTGGAAAATATGACCTTCGTCGAAGGCTATGCTTAAAAGAAACTGAAGGAATTGAAAATAATCTAGTATCTATAATCTAGTCTAGTCTATAGTCTAGTCTATAGTCTAGTCTATAGTCTAGTCTATAGTCTAGTCTATAGTCTAGTCTATAGGTCTAGTCTATAGTCTAGTCTATAGTCTAGTCTATAGTCTGGTCTATAGTCTAGTCTATAGTCTAGTCTATAGTCTAGTCTATAGTCTAGTCTATAGTCTAGTCTATAGTCTAGTCTATAGTCTAGTCTATAGTCTAGTCTATAGTCTAGTCTATAGTCTAGTCTATAGTCTAGTCTATAGTCTAGTCTATAGTCTAGTCTATAGTCTAGTCTATAGTCTAGTCTATAGTCTAGTCTATAGTCTAGTCTATAGTCTAGTCTATAGTCTAGTCTATAGTCTAGTCTATAGTCTAGTCTATAGTCTAGTCTATAGTCTAGTCTATAGTCTAGTCTATAGTCTAGTCTATAGTCTAGTCTATAGTCTAGTCTATAGTCTAGTCTATAGTCTAGTCTATAGTCTAGTCTATAGTCTAGTCTATAGTCTAGTCTATAGTCTAGTCTATAGTCTAGTCTATAGTCTATAGTCTAGTCTATAGTCTAGTCTATAGTCTAGTCTATAGTCTAGTCTATAGTCTAGTCTATAGTCTAGTCTATAGTCTAGTCTATAGTCTTGTCTATAGTCTAGTCTATAGTCTAGTCTATAGTCTAGTCTATAGTCTAGTCTATAGTCTAGTCTATAGTCTAGTCTATAGTCTAGTCTATAGTCTAGTCTATAGTCTAGTCTATAGTCTAGTCTATAGTCTAGTCTATAGTCTAGTCTATAGTCTAGTCTATAGTCTAGTCTATAGTCTAGTCTATAGTCTAGTTTATAGTCTAGTCTATAGTCTAGTCTATAGTCTAGTTTATAGTCTAGTCTATAGTCTAGTCTATAGTCTAGTCTATAGTCTAGTCTATAGTCTAGTCTATAGTCTAGTCTATAGTCTAGTCTATAGTCTTGTCTATAGTCTAGTCTGTAGTCTAGTCTATAGTCTAGTCTATAGTCTAGTCTGTAGTCTAGTCTATAGTCTAGTCAGTAGTCTAGTCTATAGTCTAGTCTATAGTCTAGTCTATAGTCTAGTCTATAGTCTAGTCTATAGTCTAGTCTATAGTCTAGTCTATAGTCTAGTCTATAGTCTAGTCTATAGTCTAGTCTATAGTCTATATAGTCTAGTATATCTAGTCTATAGTCTAGTCTATAGTCTAGTCTAGTCTAGTCTATAGTCTAGTCTATAGTCTAGTCTATAGTCTAGTCTATAGTCTAGTCTATAGTCTAGTCTATAGTCTAGTCTATAGTCTAGTCTATAGTCTAGTCTATAGTCTAGTCTATAGTCTAGTCTATAGTCTAGTCTATAGTCTAGTCTATAGTCTAGTCTATAGTCTAGTCTATAGTCTAGTCTATAGTCTAGTCTATAGTCTAGTCTATAGTCTAGTCTATAGTCTAGTCTATAGTCTAGCCTATAGTCTAGTCTATAGTCTAGTCTATAGTCTAGTCTATAGTCTAGTCTATAGTCTAGTCTATAGTCTAGTCTAGTCTAGTCTAGTCTATAGTCTAGTCTATAGTCTAGTCTATAGTCTAGTCTATAGTCTAGTCTATAGTCTAGTCTATAGTCTAGTCTATAGTCTAGTCTATAGTCTAGTCTATAGTCTAGTCTATAGTCTAGTCTATAGTCTAGTCTATAGTCTAGTCTATAGTCTAGTCTATAGTCTAGTCTATAGTCTAGTCTATAGTCTAGTCTATAGTCTAGTCTATAGTCTAGTCTATAGTCTAGTCTATAGTCTAGTCTATAGTCTAGTCTATAGTCTAGTCTATAGTCTAGTCTATAGTCTAGTCTATAGTCTAGTCTATAGTCTAGTCTATAGTCTAGTCTATAGTCTAGTCTATAGTCTAGTCTATAGTCTAGTCTATAGTCTAGTCTATAGTCTAGTCTAGTCTAGTCTAATCTATAGTCTAGTCTATAGTCTAATCTATAGTCTAGTCTATAGTCTAGTTTATAGTCTAGTCTATAGTCTAGTCTATAGTCAAGTCTATAGTCTAGTTCTAGAGTTGTTCAGTTTACACCTCTAAGTTATTAGATTTTTGTATCTTTGTAGCTTCCAAAAAGTCTAAATTTTTCTATTGAAAAAAGACTTCAGTGGTAAGTCTCGTGAAAAATCAAAAGTAGCAACTATGAAGTCGTGAAAGATTATAAGTTTTTTCTGACACGTCCTTATATTAGGCGGTAACAACTCACTATTGTGAAATCATCCTCACACCCAATTCGTTTGCGTAAAAATTCCTACCAGTATTGTTTTCCTACAACACACACACACACACACACACAAGAACGCAAATGGCGTGGAAAAGGAGTTGTTAAATGGATTCAAAACAGCATTCATTTGCCTTGGGGTCATTTTTAAAGCTCAATTATTGTTCAACCGTTTTTTTTTTTTTTTTTGCTTTTTGTGTGTTCTGAGTTTTTTTTCTATCTATATATTTCAATATTTGTTTCCATATGGTAAAATACATTTATTTAAGTCTATTTATGACTATACAAATAAATACAAAAGTTGGTCAATATATTTTTTAATATTGCTATTTTGATTATTTTGTATTTTTACATTTTGTGGTGGATAAATTGTGAAGTATGCGGCAAAAAAAGCATAGCCGCAAAAAAAATCATTACTTAATAAGTGAGCCAAAAAATGTACCTATTCAAAGAATAAAAATGACATAAATCTTATATTTATAAATACTTTTAATGTTAAGGTTTTGCTTGCACTTATACGGTGTTATTTTTCGTAAGCAGGTGTTCCGCGACAATCATAAATTTTGAATTTAATTTTTTTTTTGAGTGTAGTTATCCTCTTACCTGGTATTGATTTTCCTAATTCTAAATATTCCCTAACGGAGGGACTTAAGAAATTGGTGGGTATTTCGGGTAAATCCTTTTCTTGACTACCACTGTCATCACTTTCCAAATCTTGATGGGGTTCTGGTTCAAAGTGTACTTGTTCGGGGGCTCTTACTCTTTTGGCACGTTTCGAGCGGGTGGATTCACGGCAATCTAAAAATGATAAATGTAATATTTAATTAGTATTGAATAAAATTTCATGAATGATTAAATACAATTTATACTTAATGGAAATAAACTGAATATCACACCTACCAAATTTCTTTGAAAGATTTATGATTTTGTATAAATAAGAATATGTAAATAAAACTCAAGTTTTTTTTATTCCCGCATTAATGTCAAGATTAAATGCAATTACATAATTGCAATTGTAAAATATTTTTTACATATTTTTTTTAAATAAATCCAAGCACTAACTACAATACAACCAATCATCGTATTCATCCGACCAACCACAATACAACACACCTTTAAACAAACCACAAATTGCTGTAGTGTATAAAGTTTACCTTAAGTACTCTAGGTCTTGAAAATTTGCCAACTTTTTCGTTGTTTGGGTGCAAGAAAGTGGTAAATTTCACAGACCAACAAGATTAAAAAAACTCAAAACCCGGAGTCCATATATCGAGCAGCATAGAATCCGAATTTGGCCTCAGAATGTATCCAAAATTTGAAAAAAAATTATTCGTTTTTGGTTATATATGAGACGCTATAACGGCGCGTCTACTGACTTTAAAATAATTTTATAAATAATAGGATGGATAAATTCTGAGGTCAGATTCGGATTCAGCTCTGCCCAATCATTTAGAAAAGTAAACTTTGGTCTCTGGATCATTATTAGACCATCTACCCTGGTTCGTCTGTCCTTCCGTCAATCTATTGAAAGCAAGATAGAATTCACATCTGAAAATATGGAAATTATATTGATTTTGTCATTCCATTTATAGCTTATCGAAATATTGGTCGTAGACCCAAAAACTATATGTACAAATTTTTGGTTTCCCTCTTCTTTTGTCCCTCAGTTTATCTGTCAAAAGTAACATAGAGTTTTTGGTAATATTTCTGGATTTCATCTGGTCCCCAAATAAGTTTGATCTTATCCCTCTATCATAAAAAATTATGACAAATTTATCCACTTTTTCCGAAAATCCTGCCATTAAACATTTTATATTTGCTTCCCTTACGTTTTTGGCGAGGTAGTCCACTGACGCTTAAAGTCTGACATAACCAGGGACACCTTTCCTGTGTTCTTTAACTCCTTTTTTACAAGAATCCAATACCATTCCACAGGCCAAAGTTTTGGACAGTTTTATCGATTTCCCTCTCGTGTTACAAAATAATCATTATTTTTTGAATACCATTCGGTCCATAAATATGAAAATTCTCTGAGGTGTTTCAAAATATGTAATCCCGTTTTTTAGTCCCTCCGCAATAGATATTTTTATATGTAACGAGCCTACTGTCACAAAAGATCGGTTTCATTTGCCACGACTGCAAATGACTTAACACACAAATATTTTCTTTGTTTTTGTCCAGTATTCTTGAACAGTTGTATATCGGAACAGAAATAAGAAGACTCTCTGAGGTATTTAAAAATATATAAACCCCCTTTTTAGACACTTCGCAATGTTTTATTTTCTAAGTTATTAGCAGAGTTAATCCGGAACTTTCTGAACTTAATACGATTTCAAAGCAGCAGTAGCATTAGCTCTGCCCGCTAAAGAATCAGAAATTGATTGGTGCTCTTCGAAATTGTTGTTCAACTTATTTTGTCTTAACGATATCTGCTAAACCTTTTTTCTTTCCAATCGAGGACTTCTTTCCATGCTCAAGTCTTCCTTATACAAATTAATGGCTTTTGAAATAGGGTAACTATAAACTTTTAGATCTTTTGCGAATTCAATGAAAGTCCATTTTGGATTTTTTTGAAAAGTTTGAATTATTTTCTTCTCGAAGTCCATGAGATAACAGTTGAAAATTAATGATTTAGAATAGATAATATCTGATAAAAATAATTCATATTATGAGAATATTCGTTAATAAATGTTAAGTTTGAATAGATTTGCCCGCCTATTTTTCAAATCCCGCCTATTTCAACTACATAAAGCAAAGTTTTGATATGAACACTGCTAATATTCTATAGCCGAATGTGCAACGCCTACTATTATGGCCCCTCCCATTTTCATTGCAACTACGTATAATAGTAAAGATCAACCTCATGAAACGTTTTTTTTTTTAATCTGAAAATTTAGTCCTGCTGATATTTGACCTAGTCTAAGTGTTGTAAATTTTGAATTTTTACCAAAAATTATTTTTTTTTTTTTGGACTTTTTTGTGCTGTCATTGTTTTTTTTTTTTTATTTTTTCTCCCAACAGTTTTGATGGTGTTAACTTGTCAACATTTTTGACACCAAGAAACTATTATTAGTCATTTGTAGCATTAACACCAGCTGCTACGGTCTTAATTAAATGCCGTAGTCAATATTTATTGTAAAGGTGTCAATCATTGATTACACGACATCAACTATGTATGTGTTGAATAAATATATTATCTTACTTGTTGCAAGTGTTAATGTTATTAACAAGTTTGGAATATAGACTTATTAACAAGTGTTTAGACGACCACCCAAAGTTAGTCGTCAAATGTTTGTGTTTAGGAAACATATTTCAAAATTATGAAATTTTTATGTTTTAAATGTAATCTTTGAAGTTATACCAATTTTGTTGTCTTAAAATTTTCATTGCTCTTGAAGGGAACATTGCTATCGTAAACTTGCTGTGAACAATTCATTCACAATAGTTGATGTATATGCAACAGCTGTTCATGGTTTCATCGAAAAATTTCACAATTGGGTAAATTTTTTCACGACAAAAAGTTTGTGGACGAAAAAAGTGAAAAGGAGTATATATCACGTGAAATGTTGATTGGCGAAAGGGATGAATAACTTCAAAAAAATCATCAAACATTTTAATTTATTATATAAAGGACATTTTAATGACCGAACCGACTCAACCCATTAGCTCGAGTTCTTCAGCAAATTGCTTGTACGTGGACCGGCTCAGCCATGTACAAAAATTACCACCTGAATTCTTCCTAGAAGGATTCAGGATTCTATAGTCTACCTAGTGGATGAAAAAGACCACCGTGAAATGAGGCCGCCAAGGCAGGTGTCCATGTTATGCACTCGACATTCGACTCTACCCATTATAAATACTTCTTTACTTATTTTTTATACGTATTAAAAACTCAATCATCAACATTATACAACTCATATCGAAATACTTGACAAGGTCATTGATAATTTCTGCCATCATCACCTTATGCGTTCACAGCTAATGTTCTAAATATCGGGCGTGATTTTGTATTAAGTATTGTTATTTTATATTACAGTAGTTTTCCGATTTAACGAACATTCGTTTCTACGAACATCGCATTTAGCGAACTATCAATATTTTTACATTGAGTACCTTACATAACGAACAAAAAATACTTTTTGTACTCAGTTTAACGAACAAATATAAATAAAATTAATTGAAATTAGAGTTTAATTAACAAAAATAACTAAAAAACATTTCAGAAAAGCTTCGACGTTTTAGGAGGGGTATTTCCTTTTCTATTGCTTTCGAATATGGATTTCGAGAGTTGATTTTTTCTAATTTAGTAAAATGAAGGATCTAGATAATCTGAGATTTGTTATTAAAGATTTATACAAAAAATATGAGATAATCAAATCTACAATCCTTAATGTCGCAAAATCTAGAAAACAAGATATGACAGAGGCAATATTGCAACAATTAAACTGAATTCGCGTTGTAATAACTTTACATTAATCTATTTCCTAAGCCTGATGTAATGGAGGAATTCTGAGGCCAGATTCAGATTCATCGCAATTCAAGACATTGGGTTTCAACTTCTTTAAGAATTATGTCGTCCGACTGCTTTTCCAGAACGTAGATTAGTTTTACGAAATAAACTGTGTTTTTTTTCAGATTTCTTTATTGTTTTCACATTGTGATATAAATTGCTAGTTTTTCATAAAATTCTTATAAAATATTGTCTAAAGAATAATTGTTCAATTCACAATCGATGTTGTAGCGTTGTATGCGTAGTATGTCAGCAGCTGCTACAATAATTATAACAATGTTGTTGGTATTTTCTATGCAAAAGCTCTATACAACTCTTACGACAATTTTTCATATGTTTATTTCAGCTAAAGTGGTAACACAGAAATTCAAACAAACAGCTGTTTACCAAAACAAACAAAAATAAAATTTTATTAAAAACTGTTTATTTATTAGTTTTAAATGTGGAATAATGAAAATAAGAGAATTTTAAATTAAAAGAAATTAATTTGGTTTATTTCACTTGTTTAATTAATTTAATATTATTTGATTTTTTATCTTTTGACATTGTTTGTTTTGATTGTTTTTTTTTTTTTTTTCATTGAGAACATAAACTTATGACTTGCTGCAAAGATCTGTTCACAATCACTGTTACTACACTTTAGTAGATACAATATATAACTTGATTGTGAATTGAACAAATATTTCCTGAAACATATTTTTAAAAATTTGATTTTATGTAATTTTATTATTTATGTACCCAAAAGACACTTTCGAGTTAGTACTGCATATAACGAACTTTTCGATTTAACGAACAGGCCTGACAACATATAGGTTCGTTAAATCGGAAAACTACTGTATTGGTGACAATTGCAAAATTTAAATGCAATTATTTTTTTGCCAAGTATGATGATGTAATTTTTTGAGCATTAAAGTTGTGTAAAGTTGTTGTTGTTTTTTCGCATTTCATCTTAATGGTTGTTGACCTTGATGAAATTTATTTTTATTTATTTTTTGAAAAATACTAGTAAATTTTTAGCGAAAAATTGCATTAACTAGATGTACAAGTATTTATGTTTCTGTGTTTTTGTTTTTCTTTTTCATCATGATTTTGCTTCCCTCTATTAAAAGCAAGATTATTTTGTTTTGTAGTTATAGTGTGACCAATAATAATTCACACAATTTGTAGCCGGTAGGGACATTTTTTGTGTTTATTTGTATTATTGAAGTCTGTAGACGGTTAATTAGTTGGAACGTTAATCTTGAAATTTATCTCGAATGTTGCGTGTTCTATTTTGATATTCCTAGTG